ATCTCCAAAATATTCTAATCGATGTATGTTTTGCTAAAAAAATAATTGTCCCGCGAGATAGAATGGCTCAATTAGACATGGCTTAACTAGCTGTGTATAGAGCGGTCGAGTGCTATTCTATCTATAGAGGGTTGGGGGCAACACAACGCAGAGATTGAGGAACCCTATAGCAAACATTTTTTTGGAGGGGCTCAAGGGGGATCTAGGAGCTCTACGGTGGTTGGGGGGGGGCTCGAGCCCCCTCCGTCCCACCGTTAGATCCACCCTGCTTGTGCGTGTAGAGCGGCTGAGCATTGTTCTATTGATACAGGGTCAGGGGGCAACGCAACGCAACATAGAGATCAAGTGCAACTTCCCACGCAAGCTAAGAGACCTCGGTCGATAGTGGCGATAGCTGTCCACGGTCCCTGCAACAAGAATAAACCGTCAACTTTACCTATATTTATCCTTAAAACCAATCACCAACATAGGAAGTAGATGTTTAAACTAACTAATTCCACAAGTCTTGGTGAATATTTATATGCAGGTTGATTTATCCAGAAAACATATCAAGGGGGCCATTGTCATACACATCAAGTATACGAACCGACGTCAACAAATGTGCAAACACGTGAAAACCCACTCAAGACATAGTATAGACTCACATACCAGAAGAAGTGGCCCACCTGCCATGAGAGGGGGGGTCGGCCGACCCCCTGGGTAGGTCGGCCAACCTACCCAGGTGGCCCCATGATCTTTGCCGCCTTGTGCACGTTCCTAAGATCTACACCCTTGATTCTAAGGTGGTTTAAGGTCGGTTTATCCAACGGTGGTCGAGGGAGTTGACGCGTGAAAGTGCATCTATCCCTTTAGTGGGTTTTGGATGATTGAATGATAATGTGATTAAAGGTCTAACCTATTTGCTAAGTGTTGGACAGGTGATTGGTTATCTCATAGGTACTTGACTAAATTGTATAAAGCCAAAATGATGTGTTGTTGAATAAACAATCTAGTTCAAACACAAGACAACAATGCAAATGTAATTCATGAAAGGCTTATCTATTGTGGGATTTCTATGGTTCATGTGAAAGCAAGCACGTTGAGAATTAATGAGACATGAGGTATTTCATATGGAATGGTCTCATATTTGAAGCTTGCTACATTGAAAGACAACTATACAAATGAAAAGATGGATTATGAGCTTAATGGATGATTCAACACAATGTGTGACTTGATGGCTTGAGATGGTGAAGATATCAAGGAAAGGCTTTGAGGTACTAAGCAAGGGTGAAGGGCAAGCGACGGCTTAGCGACCGAGGAACCTAGCTATGGTGAAGAAAAAAGTACTTGCATTTAGTTGAGGTACCAATCAAACTTTGATGGTCACATTGAAGTGGAGGATCAAATATATTGAAGAAATTGTTGGAAGTGAATTGATACATTTGAAGTTAATTCTCATCTATTGAATGGAATCAAGTCACATGCTCAAGATGGCTTTGCTCAAGAAGAAAATCAAAGTTGACATGTTGACACCCTCACTTGATGATGACTGAGAGCTATGGCATTTGGTTTTGGAGGAAATCAACTCAAGTGGTTCAAACTTGTTTTCCATTTGATCTTGAGTAAATAGGTATGTCGTACTATTAAGAGGGATGCATTATGTTGATATATGATTATTCATAAGTGCTCAAGCCAACCCATGTGAGGTTTGAGTGAGAGAGACACAAGAGCTAACTCACATTGCTATGGCCGAGCCTACCAGACATGTTCGATAGGCATGTCTGGTATGAGCATGGCCACAACAACATCTTCTGTGTTCTCGAGTTCTGGGAGTCAGAAGTTCCGGTGGGAGTCAGGAGTCCCGGGAGTCAAAAGTCCCGGCAAGCATCGAGAGTTTCGACGCCTCACACGCTTTTAACACTCTAACTTTAGGCGTAGTGCAAGTCATACCGGTATGGCTACCGGACATGTCCGGTATGCACGACCTGAGTCCAACGGCTAGAAAACAGCTAATTTTCAAAGGGGCTATAAATACCCCCAAGCTTCCACCTTTGGAGGCTGCTGATTCTGATAACTTCTATACATATTTTTGAGCCTTGAGAACACTCTCCAACCCTCTCTTAGTGAGTAATTGATCCAATTTGCAAAATCCATCTTGTGGGTTGAGTGAGATTCAAAATTGAGAGCAAACCACCCTTGAGCACTTGTGCATATATATATTTGTCAATCTCATGATTTACATTTATTAATCTTGGACTCTTCGGTCCTAGATGGCTAGGCGTCGCCGGAGAGCACCCAAGAGATTGTGGTGTGCCTCGGAAAGTTTGTAACGGTTCGATTCCACCGCCGCAAGGGAAGGGATCAACTAGTGGAAGCAGGAAAAGACATCGGCTAAAGTGACCTTTGTGGGTCCTCTAGAGCTGACCTTTGCTGGGTCGCTCGCAGCCCCCTCAACGGAGAGTAGGACTCGACAGAGTCCAAACTTCGGTAAAACAAATACCGTGTCTCAATTTCCTTTTCATTTGGTATTTGTGACCTATGTGTGTTGCTTGAGCTTGTGAACATGTTACTAGTAGGTGCCTGCAACTTGGTGTGAAAGGAGAAATCAAAATGAGCAAATTTGGCAGCTTACTGCACAACCCGTGGATACCGGACACGTCCAGTATTTGGGGTTAGTGCCAAATTCATTTATTCTTTGCTTATTGTGTTGCAGGCTTGTGGCTCCTAAACTTATTTAATACATGTTATATACCTTTTGGTTAACTCGCGAGGGGTTTATTTCTCTAATTTTGAATTTCCGAGTCATCAAAAATTCCTATACTAATCGTTTCCGCATTTGAAGGTGTTAATTTTTAGAAACGTCTATTCACCCCCTCTAGGCGACATCCTTGGTCCTTTCAACGCGGATCAATGATGTGGTGCTTACTTGCTCCCTACTCCATCTCCCCCTATAAAAGGACCCCCTAACCTCCTCCAGAAAGGCATCCATTGAGATCAATCACATTCAGATCAAGACACACTAGGAGGAATAGGTCTAGAACTCTCCAATATAGTAGATGAGTAGCTTGAGAGTTAGGGTCGAGTTGGACTTATGTCCTGATTTCGGATCTAGTCTCAGAGGCTTGGTAAGCCATTGTATCTACACTTTCATATCTTATGAGACTTCAATACTTACATGTCATATTATTATCTACATGGTTGTGTTTACCTTGGTTATACGCTTAGAGTAGTCGAAGTTACCTTTATATTTATGCATAGGATCGTAGAGCTCTTAGCCTAGCTTTATTTGAATGGGTTAAGTAGCAGACTTTGTGTAAGCGTGGTGCTTATATAGGGTAATGCCAGCTGATGCACCCTACATGTCGGAACGTGTGGTAGATTGTGGGGGTGATAGCCTCGTTGATTCTTTGTAATCCATCTTCCATGTGTAGGACTAGTAGGACCTGGTCACGAGGAAGTATATTTCGCTATGCTCCTCTTGAGAGATGTCCCTTATGTATGAATATGGAGTTAATCTTTTGCTATAATAAGTTTATGCCACTGTACTTCTATAACTTTGTAGTGGGAATATCATATAAATCTACCTCACCTATTATGCTCCTAAGTTATCAAGTCTATTTATTCAGTCTAACTTTACTTTTTTTTTCATTTCCTTTTTGATGAATTAAACCTAACATCAGTTATCCAGTCGCTACTATACTTAGAATGAAGTGTTTTGTGAACCGTTAATCTCTGTAGAGGGTTAGATTAGCCAGGCCCAACAAGCAGCATGAAGAATGGCTCAATTAGACATGGCCTAAGTAGTTGTGTGTGTAGTGCGGCTGAGCACTAGTATTCTATTTATAGAGGGTCAGGGCAACAGTACGCAGAGATCGAGGAACTCTACAGCAAAATAATTTTTGGAGGGGCTCAAGGTGATCTAGGAGCTCTACGATGGTTCGGGGAGGGGGCTGGAGCCCCCTCTGTCCCACCACTAGATTCGCCCCTACTTGTGTGTGTAGAGCGGCTGAGTGTTGTTCTATTTATACGGGGTCGGGGGCAACACAGCGCAATGCAAAGATCGAGAGCAATTTTCCCACGCAAGCTAAGAGACCCCGGTCGATAGTGGCGGTAGCTGCGGTACGGTAGCTGTGGCTGTGCGACAATGACCGAGACCAATGGCAATGTGGCGCTCATCACCGCCATGCTCCTCTTCTTCGTCCTCACCGTGTAGCTGGCGCAGCCAGTACAGCTGCCCGCCAGTGGTGGATCTAAGAAAAAAACTAGGAGGGGCTGAACACATACTACAATACTACGCCAATATAAGTTCACTGTATCTGATACTAGACCAACACAATAGTTTGGTTTTGGTGTCACTAACTTTACTTCTTTTTTGATGAATCAACCCTAACATCAGTTATCCGGTCGCTACTAAGAATGAAGTGTTTTGCGAACAGTTAATCTCTCTTCGGACAATAAAGTTCAATGTGATGTAAGTTGTTCTTGATTTTTGCCGATAGTTTTCTGTTGTATAATCATCTTATAAGTTTTGGAACTTTCTGTGCTAAGGAGGCCATCTCATCATGTATCTATGAAATAAATAACAAAATACTTACAAATAAGCAGAACTCAAGCGATGCTACAGACTATATATGCCTCCTCATGTGGGAATTACATATTAACAACGTTAATGTGCACTCTACAAGACATAGAGTATCATGCATTATTGTTAGGAGCAGGAATGCAGGATTCTATAAAGTACCGCTTGAGAGTGGGAAAATAAGAAAATAATATGTATATGGTGTATTCATGTTTGATTAAGTCTAACTAACAAATGAGCATTCCTACTTTGCAGAATATATGGCACATTGTGAAGCAACATCTAGCACCTACAACATCTAAGCCCCACTATAAATCGATACCTGTGAAAGTTTGAAAGGAGTGACCGGAGGTGAAAGATAATGGAAGAAGTCTTTCCTCATTTAATTTTTTAGATTAGATCAGCCAATGCCAATGGGTCCAATCGAGGCGATGGCGGCGAGATGCTGAGATCCTTGGCCCACCCTCCACATCTCTTTCTCGCAGTTTTGTTGCAGCCGCAGGGAGACCACATCGAGCTGCACCAGAAGCGCCATGGCCGGCGCCTGGACCACGAGGAGCGCAAGCGCAAGCGCGAGGCGCGCGAGGTGCACAAGCGCTCACAGGATGCTCGGAAGGTGCGGCGGTCTGATCTGATAAGTTTACCCCCTTTTGGTTTTGCTGTCCTTGTGCCCCTGTTGTTGATGATTGCGTGCCCTTGTGCCTGTTGTAGTTGCTTGGTGCTAAGGGCAAGAGGTTCGCCAATAAACGCTATGCTGAGAAGGCACAGATGAAGAAGACGTAAGTGCTTTTTTGCTCCTCCTATTTATGTGTGTTGATACTTTTGTAATACAAGAGAGAATGAGAGACATACCTGAACAGAATAGGCCATGGTCAATCTCATAATTGCCTCCAAGATCAATGCCCCTGGGAGTCTGTTTGTCAAATCTGACTCCAACTTTTGAGGATCCATTTTCTGCAAAAGGAAGCCTCACTTCACCCTGTCAACCATAATCAGGAGCTCTGCAGATGGAAAATGGATAATAATCCTAAGCCTAGACGTGAGTAAATGAGAGGAATGGCAACAGTGAGAGGTTATCTAAAAACAAATGGTGGTGATAAATTATTTAGACATGTAACTGAGCAACGTTCAGTCATAGGTTCCCACTTGTCAGACTAACAAGCATGAACTCAACCTAGACAGGCCCATGGTCTTTGTTCAATCAGGAAACTATACAACCACAGATGAACTACACAACTCAAGTGCCAAATATCAATTCAGCACCAAACCAGACGTATCCTTTGCGCAAAATAGAGTTGAAGGCGATTATACAGTGAATATAAGTTATCCTGTACAGATGGTGATACCTCCTTGACCTTGGACGATACTATGTACATGTACAAATCCTACGAGCCACAAATGATAAACTTCTGACTATCTCCTTATCTGTTCCTCCATAGTCTTACATAATTGCTGACTATCTCCTTATCTGTTCAAGACCAAACAGTAGACTTCACCTTAAAATTGTGATTCTATTTTAGTGCAGTGTATCATGGCTAATAATTAAGGATAAGGCTGTACAGAAACTCACTTCCCTAGACCCCATCTTGTGTGGGAGATTTCAACACTGGGTATACCATTTTATTTAGTACAGTGAAATTAAAATGTATCACAAAATTTCAATTGTTGTCTATCACCTAATCTGTTCAAGACCTAACAGTAGACTTTGACTTGAAACTATAACTCTCTTTTAGAGCAGCGCAATTAAAAAATCTCACAAAATCTTGAGAAGTGTGTGACTAGGAAAGATAAATAGATAATTAAAATTATCTTGAATGGAACATACTATCCACATCACTAGTTAACATGGGATCGATGGAACATAAAGCTGCTATAATATAGGCTCACCATAAGGAATTAGTGGAGGTTGGCCATTTCCAAAGTTAAATGGAGTTGATTTTTTTGGCTCCTTTAGACGGCAGATGATCCAGTGTACCTTTGACAACCGGATATTGTTCTTGTTGAATGACACATGTTGAACACAAAGATGATGTGCTTGATTTTTCCTCCGGAAGCTGCTGAAATATCTGCAGCACATTAAGGAATTTCATATCCAAACGGATGCTTTTATACACCATCAAGAGTAGATTTGAGCAACTTAAGTTGGTCCATGGGTACTTCGAGTAGATGATGTGAGCTAATAAATTTATTTACCAAGTCGGCTGGTTTATCATACCCTGAGTAGGGGTTGTGAGCATGAAAAATTGCAGACGTCACAGTTTCAAGTCTTACTTTTTGGCTGCAATTGTATTTACGTGGGGCTCTGCTTGAATTGGTTCTTTTTCAGCCTGAAAATGCATGATGAATCAACTTCACGGCAGAAGGTCGATGATGATGTTCAAGAGGGTGCTCTTCCTCCGTATCTACTGGATCGTGATCAGACACAGCGTGCCAAGGTGAATTACCGTTCTTGGCTTCTCTCCGGCTAATCGTGATACAGCAACATTTTATGGCATTGATCACTGAGGCCTGGTGGAATGTAGGTTCTCAGCAACACAATCAAGCAAAAGAGGAAGGAAAAGGCTGGCAAATGGGATGTTCCTCTGCCAAAGGTGACTCTCAACACAACAAGCCCATTTCCGGTTGCTTCAATGAGTTATTTTCTACTCACACAATTTTTGCCCTCTCAGGTCAGACCTGTAGCTGAAGAAGAAATGTTCAAGGTTCTACGAACTGGCAAGCGAAAAAGTAAGTGATGATGCAATTTGTTAATGAATGTCGAATTTGGTTACCGTTTTAAGGTTTTATGTGGCATGCTACTTATCTGCACGTGCTTTGTGGAACTGTGATGTGCTACATGAGAAGTTGACAACTGATTTGAGCAACCAATGTGTTCCATCTGTTAAGAGTTCATAAATGTTTCATAAGATAGGACACAATATTTTTCCTTTGGTCTGTATAATGTAGCTTATCTTCTTTTCCTTATGCAGCCAAGCAGTGGAAGAGAATGGTTACTAAAGCCACCTTTGTTGGAGCTGGATTTACAAGGAAACCACCAAAGTATGAACGATTCATTCGGCCAACTGGTCTGCGTTTCACCAAAGCTCATGTGACTCATCCAGAACTGAAGTGCACTTTCAACCTTGACATAATTTCTGTGAAGAAAAACCCGAATGGTCCAATGTACACTTCTCTTGGTGTTATGACAAGGGGAACAATCATTGAGGTATTCCAAGCATCTTTACTAGTTATTGTAGTCAATACTCTTTGTAGCTAACTAGTGGCTATATTAGGTGCTCGTCATGGTTCACTGGGATTCTCTCTTTATATCCCCTCTCCAAAAATGCTTACTTACAGTGGTCTTCTTTCAGGTAAATGTCAGCGAGCTTGGTCTGGTAACTCCCGCCGGAAAAGTTGTTTGGGGTGAGAAATCTGCCAACTTTGTGCTCCTTTTGCCCAACCTACCTTGAATCATTGTCAATAAACCAAATTTCTTGTGTTGCAGGGAAATATATATGCTCAAGTTACAAACAACCCGGAGAATGATGGCTGTATCAATGCTGTTTTGCTAGTGTAGTAGAGCCATAGTGAGATTTTGTTTATGGTGTTGTATCCGCTCTGAAAAAAGATGCTTTTTTTGACCGGTCTCATGGCTAATCCCAGTAGCATGTTGTGCACCAATACATATTAATAATTTTGTCAAACTCGACAGACTTGATATAGAACATCATTTTTTGATGGAGCGAGTAGTACAAAATTGCAGTATTTTCTTTCGCTACATGGTTTTCATTGGCAACCTTACATTACACATCTTCTTTGAACCGTCCTCGAGACATTTGCCTCTCGTTTATCAGTAATGCGGTGTTCAGGGCTTCCGTCCGGACGGACCTCCCTGCGCCTGCAATTGCACCCATGGCCTGCGGACCAACCAAAAAGTCCCCCATTTTTTTATTATCGTGCACCGGCGGAATAAGGATAAGAAAAAGAGACCTCCCCTGCTCTCCTTCGTCCATCATCCATGACGTTACCTAAACTCTACTGCTGCCACCTCCACCACTCAAGCCCCCACGCCCACGCCTGGGGCAGCTTCCTCGGTCGCTAGCTGGCCACCAAGGCCGTCGCGCGCATGCTCGCGCCCAACAATGCCGACAGCTATCGCCGGCGCAAGGAGAAGCGTCGGGCCTCGCGTGGAAGCCCTCCGGCCTCGCGCTCCTACTATGGCTGCGGTGCTCCGCTGTAGACGGCGGAGGAGGCCGCATCATGATACGTCGCATGTTGCATATGTATCTTTCAAATGTTTTAGATATTTTAGAGGTACATTGTAAGAGTTTCGTGTGGATGTTACAAAAGTAGATTGAGATGTTGCGCATGTTGCAATAGCTATACACGTATGTTTCAAGTGTATATTTCTAATGTTTCATCTGTTTCAGACGTATGTTGTAAGTGTTTCCTATGAATGTTGCAAAAGTAGATCTGCAAGTTGCATATATATATATATATATATATATATATATATATATATATATATATATAAGTGCTTTAGGTGTTTTCATACTACGTATGTTGCAATGTTTTGCAATGGCTACACAAGCTTTTAAGTTTTTCTGGTGTTCTGCAAATGTTTCAGCTGTTTCGGACGTATGTTGCAAGTGTTACATCTGGATGTTGCAAAAGTGGATCTAGACGTTGCAAAAGTGGATGGTCACGGGAGACGTCTGGGTGGCATGGGCTCTGCCTAGGCACGCAAAACGAGTAGGCACGGGAAACGGGGTGTAGGGAAACGAACTAGCAGGCGCGCACGTCCGGATGCTAACATGTCCGCTCATGTATCTGCCTCAAAAGTGTCAGATACTAACAAAAATGATAGTCATCCGGCCACGTGCCAACTTCAATCAAACATACTTGGGATTTGAAAGGTTTGAACCAAATATAAATGAGTACTCCTTCCTTCCCCACCTCCCCCCCCCCAAAAAATGCGCAGTTCGTTTTTCAAGAGGTCAAACTTTTAAAGTTTGGCTAGAAATATAGCAAATAGTATAAACATTTGTATTTCTAAATAGGTTTATTGTGAAAGTATACCCATACTCAATCTAATGATTCTTATTATATATCATAATTATTAGTATTTTTGTATGAATTTGGTCAAACTTTAAAATTGAGTCATCGAGAAGCGAGATGTGCATTTATTTTAGGAAACGGGACTACGGAATATACGAAACACAATACATTACCTCTTCCTTGAGCATCTTTAATAATCAACATGTGAAATACACAGCAGCCGTCATGTGAATAAATCATTGCTTTGGCGAACATAAGGACGATGCATTGACGTCTGCTTCTCAGAAGTCAAAAATGAAATCACACCATGGGAAGACGAACATAGTCATGTACTCACGTATCGTGTTTTTAGGCTCCTCAAAGAAGCCAATGCCTGATCCACCTTATATGCATATGCATCGTGTTACAGAAAAATGACAGTCTGAGCATATCGGGGTTACAGCTAGTAGCAAAATAAAAGCCGCCGCGCGTCTTTGTACGCTGTTTGGCTTATAAGCCGTATTTTTTCAGTTAATAAAAAGTATTTTTTTCTCATAATAAATCAACCAACAGTACTTTCAGTCATGACTTATTAGCCAAGCGAACAGGACACTAGTGTAGATAGATAGATGCTCTTCTCTGTAAATTCGACACTTTTTTTTACAACGAAATTCGAGCATATTTAAACTAAAAATTGACTTATCGAGAGACGGAGAGAGCACGTCGACAGCTAGCAATGCATTATATCGGTGCTCTCTGTTGGTGCACACCACGCACGTGTACCACGTACGAGAATTGAATACGTTGGTCGCATGCAATTTGGTGCGTCTTCTCTTCTCTCCTGCAGCAGCAGCAGCAGCAGCATCGGTCCAGTCCAGAGCCGTCCCGTCCCGGTCTGCACGTACGTGAATGAACGTGATAGGTGTGAAAAACTGGCCTTCTGAGCAAGTCAAAAACGGATGGGGAGCGTACACGTGGACCACGCATGTCCACGTTACATCCCTCGCCTCTCGTGTCAGTATCACCAATACACCACACGGAACTGTACATAGAGCGTGTTTAGTTTTAGGAAGTTGGAATTTGAGGATACTGTAGTGCTTTTGTTTTTATTTGGTAATTAATGTTTAATTATGAACTAATTAGGCTTAAAATGTTCGTCTCGTAATTTTCCACCAAACTATGCAATTAGTTTTTTTCGTCTACATTTAATGCTCTATACACAGGCCGTAAACATTCGATATAATAGGTACTGTAGCACTTTTTAGGAATTTAGGATGAACTAAACACGCGCCTATTTTCTCGTTTGCATTGGGTGCGCTACCTAAGCGTACTTGTTCGGCCGGCCGGCCGGCCGGCGACAAGATGAGACCACGGCGCCGCGCCGCCCTAGTTGTTGTACAAGTTGAATTTTATCAGATGCCTCCGAAGGAAGAGATGTACAATAAGTTGAATTTTGTAACTTCAGATATTGCAGAGAGGCATAAAATTATCTTAGAGTTTGTTCGGTTAAATCTCAATCCAAAAAGATTAAATAAAAGAGATTAAGAGAGATTTTGACCTGATTTCCCTTCAATCCTCTAAGAATATCCTCTAAGATTAGAAATTAACCGAACAAGTCCTTATGGATCTTCTCCATATTAATTTATTTTTGGTAACTTCTATATATGTAGGCTAAATTTATTATTAGATGCCCAAATAACCTATATAAAAATAATGATAAACCCTTTATAATACTACTTCATCTGTTTCACTAGTTTTGTTCTAAGTTAAATTTCACTAGTTTTGGTCAAGTTTATAGAGAAATCATCAAACGAGATTTATTGGATATACACCATGAAATATATATTTAATAATGGATTTACCTCCATATCGTAGATGCTAACATATTTCTCTCCACAAGACAGTTTTGATTTCGACAAAACTAAAAAAACAACTTACAAATTAACTACTATCCACCACTATCACCTTGTAACTTTTGAAGTGAAAAATTAACTTGTACCAGGAGAATCGAAAAAGACAAATCCTATCATGGGTTAGTCACTGTGTTTCTGAATAAATAGATTCCTAGAGTTGTTTTAAGTGAAGCTTTTTAAACTTTGACTGATTTTTTAGAAAAATCCGTCAAGATTTATGAGATCAAATTAGTGTCATTAGATATACCATATAATATATTTTCATAATGTGCTTATTTTATTTCATAGATGTTCTTACTGTCTCCTACAAAAGTTAGTCAAACTTAAGTTAGTGATAGGGAGTCTTTCCAAATATAACATGGGTCCAAGTTTTTAAGCAGTAGCAATTTGATATTTTAGGCCAAAAAAGGGCACCTTAAATCCTATCTATATAAATTTTGGTCCACTTGAAATGGCAATCCTGGATAAGCAGTGGACCCGGTAACAAAAGGCTCCATGCCTCCATGTATAAAAAGGGAAGGTGGGCCAGTTTTTATGTTGCCATCGTAACTTGACTCCATGCACATTCCGGCAACTCAAGCAGTCTCAAACATGGCTCTCGAACAACAAGCTGCACCCATCGCCCTCCTGCTCATGGTCCTAGTCGCCGCGCCTCTCGCCTACCTCCTCCTCCTCCTCGTCGCCGCGCCTCTCGCCTACCTCCTCATCGTCGTCGGCGGCGGCGGCAAAAAGAAGCCCTCTAGTGCTGGTGCACCCACGCTGGGCCGCGACGGCCGGAGGCTGCCGCTGCAGCCGTCGCCGCGGGGCCTCCCGCTGCTGGGCCACCTGCACCTCCTAGGCACGCTGGCGTCCCTGGCGTGCGCGCATGGCCCGGTGCTGCTGCTCCGCCTGGGCTGTGTGCCCACCGTGGTCGTGTCCTCCATGGCCGCCGCCGAGGAGGAGATGCGGGCGCGCGACCTGGCGTTTGCGTGCCGTCCCACGAGCGCCATGGCCGAGCGCCTCCTCTACGGCCGCGACATTGTGTTCGCACCCTACGACGAGTACTGGCGCTAGGTTCGCCGCGTGTGCGTCGTCCACCTCCTCAGCTCACGCCGCATCGGGTCCTTCCGCCTTGTCCAGGATGTTGGTGTAGCCCTGCCAACACTAACACTGAAGACATTCAGAGAAGATGGCGTAAGTGAGCACAACGAGAAGGCTTTGGTTTGAATTGTGGATGCCAGAGCGGGAGCTGCGGTTGCTGTGACCGCGCCCATGACGCACCAGTTTCTGCAGAGTGTGTTTTTAGAGTCATGTATCTTTGTTTAGCGGCCGTGTTAGCTAATGTGTGATTGGTAGGCTACTGGTATAAGTAGCTCGGAGTTCCTTGAGTCAAGTAAGTGTGTAAATCGCCGTCAGGCGCTTTGTATTCGAACCAACTATCAGTGAAAAAGGGCACTATCTTCCGGGTGACCTGCGGGCAGTTGCCATTCGTGTGTGTTCTTCATTCTTGTTCACGCGTTCATCGATTTGATCGATTAATCCAGCCGCCATTCAGCGTGCAATCGTGATCTTTTGATAACATCTGGTATCGGAGCCACTCTTGCACATGGAGACATCCACAGATCGAGTCCATGTTGATCGTTCCGAGCGGAGAAGGGGGGCGAGGCAGCGGCGTGACTGTCTGGTGTACCCACCACTGACGAGCACGAACTACACCAGCTGGCGTATTCAGGTGCAGGCGATCATGGAAGATCAGGGGGTGTGGGAGGTGGTGGAGCCAGAGGCGGGGACGTCGGCGACGCCGAGTGAGGCGGAGGTGGCGAAGGCAACCGCTAAAGACAAGAAGGCGAGGGCACATCTCCTGCAGTGCCTACCTATTGACTTGCTGATTCAAGTCGCATCGAAGAAGACAGGGAAGGAGGTTTGGGAGTCTCTAAAGGCTCGCTTTGTTGGAGCAGATCGGGTGAAGGACGCACGGTTGCAGATGCTCAAGAGCGAGTTTGATGCCATCCGGATGAACGAGGATGAATCGCTTGACCAATTTGTTGGCAGACTGACGGCGATGTCAGTCAAGTACAACAGCTTGGGGGGAGCCTGGATAACGCAACGTTGGTGAAGAAATTGTTTGATACCGTGCCTGAACTATTTCTCAATATTGGGGCCGGGATCGAGCAGTTTTATGACCTGAAGACGCTGGCGTTTGATGAGGCAGTGGGGAGTCTAAAGGCGTTCGATGAGCGCATGCAGCGGAGAGCTGGCGGTGCGAGATCTGAAGGTGGGTAGGTGTTGCTCACACAGGCATAGTGGGAGGCCAGACAGAAAACCTCCGGTGGTGATTCTTCAGGGAAGGGGAGGAAGCAGGAGAGTGGAGGACGTGGCCGAGGCCGTGGCCGTGGCGGTGGTGGCGACGCTGGGAAAGATGGCACCAGGAAGCGTGACAAGAGTCACATCAAATGCTTGAAGTGCCACAAGTGTGGGCACTATGCTAATAGGTGCCTAGGCGAGAAGGAGGGAGAAGAGGCGCACTGTGTGAAGGCGAAGGAGAAGGAGCCGACGGTGTTGCTCGCGGAAACGGCAATGCCAGGACTGCTTGAGCACCCGCCAAGAGGCCAAGTTCAGAGAGTCTTTCTGAATGAGGCCAGGACAGTGCCTGAACTTCATTTGTCTAAAGGAGGTGATCCATCAGGCGACGTGTGGTACTTGGATAATGGAGCAAGCAACCACATGACGGGTGATCTGCAGAAATTCAGAGATTTGAATCGTGCTATCACAGGCAAGGTATGGTTTGGTGATGATTCTACTGTTGACATTCAGGGTAGAGGTACTATTCTGTTTCAGGGCAAGTATGGTAATCAGTGGTTGTTGTCTGATGTCTATTACATTCCAAAACTTAGAAGCAATCTTGTTAGTTTGGGTCAGTTGACTGAAATCAAGCATAGAATTGTTCTTGATGATGATGTCCTAGAAGTGTTAGAAAAACATCCTGTCAGACTGATCATGAGAGTGCCAAGAACACTGAATAAACTGTATAAGATTGAATTAAAACTAGTAGAACCAGTTTGCTTGATGTCTAGCATTGGTGACCAAGCATGGCTTTGGCATGGGAGACTTGGACATGTGAATTTTAGATCTCTGAAGCAATTGGTGGATAAGGAAATGGCAGTAGGGTTGCCTGCTATCAGTCATCCTGATCAAGTCTGTAGCGATTGTCTTGCAGCAAAACAGACTAGAACTCCATTTCCTAGAGCAACTCAGTGGCACTCTAAGGAGAAGCTCATGTTGGTACATGTGGATTTATGTGGACCAATAACACCAGCAACAGCAGGAGGAAACGGGTATTTCATGCTGTTGGTTGATGATCATTCAAGGTGGATGCATGTGTATATGCTGAAGAACAAAGATCAAGCATGTGATGCATTTGTCAAGTACAAAGCTGAGGCCAAAAATGTCATTGGGTGTAAGATCAAAACACTTAGGTCAGACAGGGGGGTGAATTCCTAGCTGGAATGTTTGCAGTGTATGTGAACAAGCAGGGATCAGAAGGCATTTCACAGCTCCTTATTCACCACAACAGAATGGTGTAGTGGAGAGAAGAAATAGGACTGTGATGGAAATGGCTCGAGCATTGTTGAAGAGCATGAAAATACAAGGAAAGGTATTAGGGTGAAGTTGTCAGGCATGTTGTTTATCTTCTGAACAGACTGCCAACAAAAGTGTTAAGTGACAGAACCCCCTATGAAGCTTGGAGTGGTAGGAAGCCAAGTCTTGGACATTTGAGGGTGTTTGGGTGCACTGCTCATGCTAGGCCAGCTGCACCACACCTGAAGAAGCTTGATGACAGAAGCAAACAATTAGTCTACTTTGGAGTAGAAGAGAGAAGTAAAGCACACATACTGTATGATCCTGAAAACAACAGGATTGTTGTCAGTAGGGATGTTGTGTTTGATGAGAGGAAGGTGTGGGATTGGGAGTCAACTATGGGTGTAAATCTCTGTGGAGTTTGTAGTTGATGAAGAATTTGACACAGGCAATGCTGTGGTTGATGGAGGTGTTGTAGCAGAACAGGAGGAAACAGAAGCTGTAGGTGACAGTTCTGTGAACGTGCCAGATATGCTACAATCACGAGCAGAAGAGGGTATGCAGACAGGAAGTTGGCCTAAATCCTCCAATGCAGGAATGTCAACACCACAACATAACATGTCTCAAGGAGACTATTCCACACCAACATCAGCAAATGAAAGTGGGGTAATGAGGTTTAGAAATCTGAATGAGATTTATGATGAAACCACTGAAGTGGAGCTGATGGACTCTGATGTAGAGGCATTGTTAGCAGAGCTAGAAGAGCCAACTTGTTATAAAGAGGCTGTTGGTCATCAGGAATGGGTTGAAGCAATGGAGAAGGAACTGCAGTCCATTGAGAAGAATAAGACATGGGAGCTGGTTAAGTTGCCTACTGGGAAGAAACCTATTAGGTTAAAGTGGGTTTTCAAGATGAAAAGAAACTTTGATGGTGAAGTGGTGAAATATAAAGCTAGACTAGTTGCAAAGGGATATTTGCAGAAATATGGCATTGATTTTGAGGAAGTATTTGCACCTGTTGCTAGATTAGATACAATGAGACTCTTGCTGGCATTTGCAGCTAACAATGGCTGGAAAATTCACCACTTAGATGTCAAATCTGCTTTCTTGCATGGAGAACTAGAAGAAGAGGTCTATGTTTCACAACCAGAAGGACATGTTGTGAAGAGTAAAGAGCAGTGTGTTCTGAAATTGAGCAAAGCTCTTTATGGATTTAGACAGGCTCCAAGGGCTTGGAATGTCAAACTTGACAAAATCCTGAAGAAGCTAAACTTCAGAAGATGTTTGAGTGAGCAAACAGTGTACACCAGAGGAAATGGTGATAATGCAGTCATCTTAGGTGTTTATGTTGATGATTTGATTGTCACAGGAGGTAATCCAGATGAAATCAATCTCTTCAAAAGGCAGATGATGACTGAGTTTGAGATGACAGATTTGGGTCTGTTGAGTTACTACCTTGGGATAGAGGTAGAGCAGAAGGAAGATTATGTCTTTGTTAAGCAAAGTGGATATGCCAAGAAGGTGTTGATGCAATTTGGGTTGGGTGAATGCAATCCTACCAAATTTCCAATGGAACCTGGTTGCAAGCTAAATGCAGACAAGGGAGGGCAGCAAGTAGATGCAACTGAATACAAAAAAGGTGATTGGGTGCCTAAGATATTTGTTGCACACTAGGCCTGATCTAGCATATTCAGTGGGATTGGCCAACGGGTTCATGGAGAAGCCAACAGTGATGCATACTAAGGTAGTCAAGCAGATCATGAGATATCTGAAGGGCACTATAGACTTTGGATTGGTGTATGTTCAAGGTGGGAGTGCAGACAAGTTAGTGGGCTACACTGATAGTGATCTAGGTGCTGACTTAGTGGAGAGGAGAAGCACAGGAGGCATGACATTCTATCTGAATGAGAATTTGATCACCTGGTGCTCTCAGAAGCAGAAGACAGTAGCACTGTCATCTTCTGAGTCTGAATTCATGGCAGCCACCGCAGCAGCAAAGCAAGCATTGTGGCTGAGGAACTTGATCAGTGAGATCACAAAGGAGAAGCCAAAGGCAGTCACTCTCTATGTTGATAACAACTCTACAATTGCACTCATGAAGAACCCAGTGTTTCATGGTAGAAGCAAGCACATTGATATAAAGTATTACTTTATCACGGAGTGTGTTGAGAGAGGACAGATCATTGTGAAGAGAGTTGGTACTGAGGAGCAGAAAGCCGATGCCCTGACCAAAGCAATGCCAGCGGGGAAGCTGTCAGTCATGAGACATTTGCTTGGGGTCAGAGATATCAGTGTGTGCCAGGCTTAGGAGGGGGCATGTTGGTGTAACCCTGCCAACACTGATACTGAAGACATTCAGAGAAGATGGCGTAAGTGAGCAGAGCGGGAAGGCTTTGGTTTGAATTGTGGATGCCAGAGCGGGAGCTACGGTTGCGGTGACCGCGCCCACGACGCACTAGTGTCTGCAGAGTGTGTTTTTAGAGTCATGTATCTTTGTTTAGGGGTCGTATTAGCTAATGTGTGATTGGTAGGCTAATGGTATAAGTAGCTGGGAGTTCCTTGAGTCAAGTAAGTGTGTAAACCGCCGGTCAGGCGCTTTGTATTCGAATCCACTATTAGTGAAAAAGGGCACTGTCTCCCGGGCGACCTCTGGGCAGTTGCCATTCGTGTGTGTGTTCTTCATTCTTGTTCATGCGTTCATCGATTTGATCGATTAATCCAGCCACCATATAGCGTGCAATCATGATCTTTTGATAACATCGGAGCAGGAGGCCGCCGCGTTGGCCGCCCGCGTCGCCGCCCGGGCCAGTGTCGCGGTCGTCGACCTCAGCGAGCTCCTTACCGCGTACGCCAACTCCGTCGTGTCGTGCGCGGCGTTCGGCGACGAGAGCGTGCTGGGGCTGTTCGACGACGGTGACTCCAGCCGTCGGCAGAGCAAGGTGTTCACCGACTTTCAGAAGCTCATCGGGACGGTGCCGGTCGGGGAGCTTCTGCCATGGCTGGGCTGGGTGGACGCCATCACCGGACTAGAGGGGAAGATCAGGCGGACGTTCGAGGCGCTCGACGGGTTACTCGAGAAGGTGATTGATGACCACCGCCGACGGCCCCTCGTCGGGGGGGTGAGGGTGGCGGCGATGGCCGGGACTTCGTGGACGTGTTGCTGGACGTCCACAAGAACGACAAAGAGCACGGCATCCAACTGGAGACCAACGAAATCAAGGCCATCATCTTGGTAAATAAATATACTAATATATCAATCGATGGATCCATACATTCATTGTTATATATAAATATTCTGCATGCATCTGCGTAGAGCAGTTGATCGATCTCTTTCGTGTATCATGGGCGGCGGTGGCGTCACTACTCACTCGGCAGGACATGTTCGCGGGAGGCACGGACACGACACCACGGCGATGGAATGGGCCATGGCGGAGCTCGTCACCCACCCGCGCACCATGCGCAGAGCGCAGGACGAGGTCCGCACGGCGACGGCCGGCTCAACCGGCGTCAACGAGGACCATGTCGCGCAGCTGGACGACCTCAAGGCCATGGTGAAGGAGACGCTCCGGCTGCACGCGCCGGTGCTGTTGCTGGTGCCCCGGGAGCCGCGGGCGGACGCCGAGATCCTGGGGTACCACGTCCCGGCGTGCACGCGCGTGCTGGTCAACGCCTGGGCCATTGGCCGGGACCCCGCGACGTGGGAGCGCGCTGAGGACTTCGTGCCGGGGAGGTTCATGGACGGCGGCACTGCCGCTACTAGCGTCGACTTCAGGGGGCAGCACTTCGAACTGCGGACGTTTGGCGCCGGCAGGAGGGTGTGCCTCGGGATGGGGTTCGCGGAGGCAAGCGCCGAGATGGCGCTGGCGAGCTTGCTGTATCATTTTGACTGGGAGGTGGCCGGCGGCGGTGTGCTGGGAAGCCGGAACCGGGAAGGGACGCCGACGCCATCGTTGGACATGACCGAGATGAACGGGATAGCCGTGCATATCAAGTCCGGTCTGCCGCTTCTAGCTAAGCCGTGGGTCCCTTAAACTATTGTTTTTAGGCTGTCTCCTAGAGACCCATTGCGGAACCCAACCCTCAGATAGGTCTCTAACCCAATGTCTATAGTCTCTAACAGAGTAACTATATGAAAGACCTATTTTTGGTGTCAGGAGAGGCATAACCTAAATCTGAGTATACTCTCTCTTGAAGATCCATTTGTAGAAAGGGTTATCTTTTGGGTCTTGGTGTTGGAGAAGACCAAAAATAGGTATTGAACCATTTGCCTGTAGCGCTACCCAAAGGACAAATGGGTCTTGTATTTTGGGTCACGGTTGTTGGAGACAGTCTAGGCCAGTCTCAATGCAGATTTCATGGGGTTTCATGCACATTAAATAGGGTGTCACATTAGCAGAAATAGAGCTTTTGCATGTATCGAAGAGGAGAGAGAAGGGAAATATTTCATGGGGACGAAATGAGTGAGCGTTGTTTCCAAAACGTTGGAAACCGGATGAAACCCTCACTGAGAGCCTTTCGTTCATTTCATCCTGTGCGCGATATCTTTTTCCATCGAGCGCGGGTGAGGCCGCCACCTCTGGGCGTGGACGAGACCGCCGCTGTTAGTAGGGATGGAGGAGCGGGAGGGGAAGGTAGGCTCCGCCAGCCGCGGGCGCGGGCGGCAAGGGCGTGGCGAGGGTGTCGTCGAGGGTGATGCCGTCATCCTCACCATCGCACATGGCCTCAGATCTCGCTGTGACAGATTTCGTATCTGCCAGCCGATGCGGCGCACCTGAAGCCATCGCGCTTTCAGCACGTCAGGATCTTCCTAGGTCGCCTGACAAGGACGTGGTGGTGCCCACGCAGACGAACGCGCTTTCGCAGGAAGGAACCATCGGTGGCACAGCGGCAGCACGACTTCGCTGAATTCCCTCGTCCGCGCGACCGGGTTCGGTTCGGTAGCTAGGCGCCGCGCTCCTCTGATCCTTCCCCCGTGCGGCTAGGGTTTGCGGATGGATGCTGGGCGGAGCGGAGGTCTCGTCCACGCCCGGCGGTCATGGGGTTCCTGGGCGGAGCGGAGGGCATGAAAGGGCCTGCGGCGGAGGCAGGAGGGGATTGGCGCCATCGGCTGCGAGCTCCAGCGGGCGGCGGGCGCGGCTCCGAGGGGATGGCAGGCGTGAGAGAGACACCGGTGGGACCCACAAAAAGCTAAAACAACCCATGAAACTGTGCCAATGAAACTTTGCACCGAGAGAGACTAGAGAGACCTGTTTCATGTTTAATTTCATTCTTGGAAACTGAGGGATGAAACATTCCATTGAGACTGACCTTAGTACAGTCTCAGTGGAGAGTTTCATTACACCATTTCCAAGACTGTCATGTCATATAGAATAAAATAAAACTTGTATGAAACACCCACTCTCAATGCAAAGTTTTATTCTATAATTTCATAGACATTTAATTTCATGACTCATAGAGAGTTGGTAATCGTATTAAGAGAGTTTCATCACCATAAAACTCACTTTGTCTCTCTCTTTATTAAAACATTACATGTTATCAAAAGTACATATATGGTAGGTTATTAAATCTAAATAAAACTCTAACGAAACCTCACCGCGACTAGCGTTATCTTTGGTGGTTGCATGCTTTTTGCACCAGAATTCGCGTCATGGTGTGCGAGGCAATCGTGTTTCTCAGCTGATCGAGCAATAAATGATCATTATACATACGTATTGTTCTATGTTATGTTTTGATGCTACGATGTTTTTTTTTCATTTTTGCGAAACTGCTTAAACACGTTTTCATTTTTTGTGAAACAATTTTTTTAGTCGTAGCTTTACTGGTTTGAAAAACGTTTGGAAAAACAACTTTACCGGCTTGTTGAAAAGGATAAAATGTCTATAACACCATTCTATTTTTATTATTTCTATTTATTTCCTTCTTCTTTTCTTTATTAATTTTTTCCTCACTTATTTTACTTTTTTCTGTCTCCACACCAGGACCATATGCATTTTTCCTCTAATCTCATGCACGTTGTTGTGCATGCCTTCTTCTCCCACACACCTTCTTCTCATACACGCCCTGCCCTCTTCGCATTCTTTCTCCAATCTCCACCGCATGCACCGCCGTTTCCGCCATGCGTCGTCTCCTGTCTATGCCAGGGGCCGTCTCCACGCCTCACTTCTGCCCCTCCACTCCCGGCTTGGCCTGATTTTTTTTAAATAATATTTTTAATGATTAATTGTAAATATAGCATTTGATTAAAAAGAATTGCAAATCCAATAGCCCGTCGGCCATTGGACAGCCAACAAGGCTCCGGATGGGGCTGGCTCGTACGGCAAAGTGGGCCATATCGGGCCGATAGGCCTATCGGCTGCGCGGGAGCCGATAATGCCTTGTCGGCTATCCGCTGGCCGATAGGCCGTAAAATATCTAGCCAGCACGTCTTCCTCCTTCCCTCTCGCTCGTGCTGGCTCTCTCTCTCACCATTGCGCCGTCGGCTGCCGCTGCTCACCCGCCCCACCGCGCAGGCGGCATCCCTGCTTCGGCCGGCGCCGAATCCGATGGAGGGCATGCCGCCGCTGCTCGCCCGGCGCTGTGCAGGTAATTTTTTTATTTTTTGTAAATTTAGATTTTAGTTAGTTTAGTTTGTTTAGTTAGATATGGTTAGAGTTAGATTAATTAGTATATTTAGTTTGTAATCATACATTAGGGTTAGTTTTTTAGGGTTAGATTAATTAGTATATTTAGTTTGTAGTCGTACATTGGGGTTAGTTTAATTAGTTTTATAGGGTTAGATTTTTAGGGTTAGATTAATTAGTATATTTAGTTTTTTGGATTAGGGTTAGTTGTAGATTGGATCTTGTTTTTTAGGGTTCATTTTAGTTGTAGATTATTTTTTTAGTTATTTTTTAGGGTTAGTTTTAGCTGTCTTAGTTATTTTTAGTTAGGTTGTAGGGTTCGATTTACTTAGGGTTAGGGTTAGTTGTGCCAACGTTATTTTTAGTTAGCAAGTTTCGTTTTAGGGGGTGTTTGGATACAGGACTAAAGTTTAGGAGGTGTCACATGGGGGTGTCGCATGTGGTGTTCGGATACTAATAAAAAAACAAATTACAGAATCCATCAGTAATCCGTGAAACGAATTTATTAAGCCTAATTAATCCATCATCTGCACATGTTTACTGTAGCACCACATTATCAAATCATGGACTAATTAGACTTAAAAAATTCGTCTCGCAAAACAATCTCAATCTGTGCATTTAGTTTCATAATTAGTCTTTATTTAATACTTCATGCATGTGTCCAAACATCCGATGGAACAACGACTAAAGCTTAGGAGGAGGAAACAAACACTCTTTAGTTAGGGATCGGATATGCAGTTTTTCATGTTACTTTTGGATTACGACTAGTTTAGTTAGTAGTTTGTTGTTAGGGTTAGTTCGCATGGTATTTCATTTAATTAACTGACACGTTACTTTGCACGATGCGACTAGGAATGTCGACCAATTTAGTCCCTTTCAGAATTTACCATGGTAATGGTGAAATCAAATATGGGGACAGTGGGATAGACTTAGTGAGTTCCAGGTCTTTGACACATAACTGAATTCGTCGCTAGATTATAGCCATAAACAAGTTTTAGCCTGGTTGCATGAATATTCGGGTGTTCCGCCCTCCCAGCATCGTTTCAGGATTAGTATGTTGGTGCCTAAATTACGGGAGAATGGATGGAGGTGGGAGCTATATGAGGCTAATAACACCAAGAAGTGGCATTTTCTCGTGTTCAAGGCATTGGAGCCTTGTTATTATAACATCATGCTTGTTGAGTTCCTGGATGGTGGCATGCAGGGTGAGAGTAGCAACATAGGTGTAGTAGAGGACAACTTAGAGGCCGCAAATACTGAGCAGACCTATGTTTGCGATTCTCAGACGGTTTAGAACACGACAGAGGATAGAGAAGCGAAAGAGTATGGTCCATACATAGAAGTTGACCAGGGTGAGGAGGACGAAAGAATCATGGAACTTATGGAGGCTAACGATGCGGAGCACCTTGCCTTTGTGGATGAATTTGCAGGCAGGAGCTTTGACGACTAGTGGTGGACCTCTGAACATAAGAAGTACAGAGTTCCACATATGCCATGGCAAGTCGTGCTTTGTTTACTTTCTCTAAGGCATGTTAGGATTAGTGGTGTGACTACTTACCTTAGCTACCTACAGTTCCACACATGCCATTTAGTATTGCAGGTTTGGTCCATGTGCCGCGCTGGGTTAATATTAGAATGTGTTTGCCTTCAAAAGTTTGTAAGGTTCCTTAGGTTACGGTGCATAATATATGTTCGGAAAAGAAGAGCAAATGTTTTTAGTGTTGCAGTGATAAAGTTAGTTTTCCGTCTGGTGATGGTTTTGTTCGGAAAAGAGCTCATATTGAGCGATGGTTGTCTCTAGAAAAGGAGGGTACAACATGAAATAGTGTAATCGGGTGCTCACGCCCGCCGTGGCGGCGCGCCCCCTGGCGGCCGTGCTTGCGTACGCCCTGTCGGCCCTGGCTACCCGTGCCCCGACGGCGGCGGCGGCGGCGCCCCGATGTCCGCACCTGCCCTTCCGGCCATGGCCGCGAGATCGAGCGACGCGCCTCCCAGTTGCGAGACGACAATGGATGCGCCTCCCACCCATGAGCTCGAGCGGTCGCGTCCACACGTGCCCCGGCGAGCCTCAACGATAGGGCATATCGTGAGCTCTGGCGGCTGCGTACCTCCTCTTCGGGGTTCGGCAGCCGCGACTATGCCCCGGCCCGGCAACCACGCGCGTCCTAGTGGCCCTTCTCTCGACAGCTGAGCGCGCTCGATGGTCGCAGCGGCGGTCGTCGCGCGCTGCATTGAGCACTCGAGCGTCCTTTTCTCACGCGCAGCAGCACCTACGTCCTTGCGGCAGAGCCCGTCTTTGCAAAGTGTAGGGCCCATAAAGTGGCAGGTGAAGCTATGATAAGCTATTTTTTTCAGCTTCATACCAACACATGCATTTGTGAGAGGAGAAAAAATAGTTTTATCTGTTAAGC